AAGGGGGGGGGGGGGGGCATTTATCACTACGGAGAAATTCCAATATAGCCTAGAAGTTATGATAGTGTATATATAATTACTATTGTTGCATTATTAACATAAATGTTGTGATGTAAAAAATGTAATTTCACTTCATGATCTCTTGTTCTTTCCCCAACTTCCTGCACTTCACTACACTTCACATTGGCCTGTAGGTGCCGCTTGGGCTTCATTTAATGAGTGGTGATATCAAACTGTAAATCAATATGCAAGGAAGTAAATAAGTAATAATTGACTACGGGCCTACACCTCGGGTGAGCATTATTTATAATTTTTTCATTACCACATTACTAGTAAGCCCCAAGAATTTTATTTGTTTATTTATTTTTTTCTGAAGTGTAAAGTTAAATCTGTACCCTTGGGGTAAGATGGCCCCCTCAAAATGGCCCCCGGGGATATCTCGCTCCAAAATAACAGGTCACTTGAAAATTTGAAATATAAAGTATTAAAGAGTGAATGTGAGTGAACTGGAGGCGTTAGCTTTAGCTTACCTCCACTTGAGAAAAGTTTTATGGGGGATAAAAAACTGTGTGTGTGTGTCTGTATACATACCATATTTTGGGGACAAATTTGTAAGTGATCTAACCCCTACCCCTGATCTAAAATATATATATATAAAAAAAAAAAATATATATATATATATTTTTTTTTAAATATGTACTTAAATAAAAACTAACTTTTACCTTTACCAAATTTACCTGTATTTACTTTGTTTTCATATTTGGCGACTTTTTGTGAAAAATTGAGACTTTTGAGGGTGGTTCTAGCAATTACACACAGACACGGTTTGGCAACACTGCACATGAACGCTCTTTTCAAACAGAAGCTTGTAACGCACATGATATCAGTCACAGCATATAATGACTACTAAAAATTACAAATTATATATAATTTTCTTTCAAATAAATTATACAGCCTATACAATTAATACAGCCTTTATTTGTGTATTGTAGACGTTATTACTAAGCTAAATTTGCTGAAATATCCACGACATAGGCTACAGTAAGAGCGCATGGTTTATCTGTCCATCAGATGCGTGTCAAAGTTGAGTTCGTTACTATAGCAACAGTAGATCAAACAATCATTGTAAAAAAAACTAAAAAAAACTTTGTCGAGATCACGAGAAAATTAAGTCGTTATAACGAGAAAACAACTCTCGTTATGTCGAGATCACGAGAAAATTAAGTCGTTATAACGAGAAAACAACTCCCGTTATGTCGAGATCACGAGAAAATTAAGTCGTTATAACAAGAAAACAACTCGTTATGTCGATATCACGAGAACATTAAGTCGTTATAACGAGAAAACGAGAAGGAAAAAAAATGATATTGCATGACTGCTTAGAACTTCAGTAGTAGAGTGAGTTTTGAGCACTCAATCTCATACTGTCACACGCGCTGACTTTCTGAAAAGCCCTGCATGGATAAAGGCGCGTGAACCAGGATCACGAAACCCAGACCGTCTCTATTAAGCGGGAGCGCTGACAGTGAAAGTCCATTTCTGATTTTATTGTTGTTTGTATTGTCATGTTGCGGTATTTTACTTAATAATAAAAATTTTTTTACTTTATATGCTCTGTTGTTGGTGGTTGGTGGGGTAGTATCACCTTTATACAGTCTATGAGTATCACCCAGGGGGGGGGTATTTCTTTTAATGGACCTTTTTCACATTTCCGGGTTTCTCAGCAGCGGAAGTCGTCATAGTTGGGTTAACTTGAATAGCAGTGAATGGGAGAGCACCACAAATATATTTTTTTGCATTCCCAGTTGCTCAAATAGCAAAAGAAAAACACAATAGTGTTTTCATGACTTTCAATAAAAGGAAAAAAAATTGAGAGACTGATAAGGGCTGTCAGAAGAGAGAACGATGTCAAATTTACCGTCCCTCCCATAGACGCTGCATTAGAAACATCCTCGCATTAGCGTTAACTGCTTTTTTGTAATTTGATGCAAAGGTGATATAATACAAAGAATAGTGTTATAAATGTAGATAAAAAAAATTTCAAATACAAATATGAAAAACTTTCGAGGATTAACGATGCTGATGACCCTTAAACGCGTCATCACAGTCTTGTGAAAAAGGTCCATATATAGCCTATATATATATATATTTGGAATTTATTGTTACTTAAGTTGTTGTTATTTAATCATTCCACAGCCTAAGAAAAATAGGCCTACTGTGAACTTTAAAGGTCAGTACAACCTAAAAGTGGAAAAGTTCATTCTCACTGCATTGTAACTGTTGCTATATTGTGACATGTTTTCAGCTAAAAAGTGTTGAATGCAATTGCCTTTCCGATACCTCTCTCTGTAACCATGCTTCTGTACTTTATTTGTCATTAAGAAACAATCCATTTTGTATTCAAATTACATTGCCAAGATGCTCAGTTTTACCAGTTTAGTTAATGTCATTCTCCCCCGAAAATACAATTATTAGGATTAATTTGGCCTTTAGATAAAATGTTCTGTAAAGGTCAGATGCCCCTGGGGGTTTCTTGCCCCATAGGGGATCATTTTTGCCTCAATGGTGGGGCAAGATGGCTCCCTTTCATATTTTTAATTTGTGTGCCATTACAACTAAACTGTTAATTGTTTCAATTTGATTTCCATAATAGTCTGTTGGGTGATGCATAATGATCCGCTACATGCTAAACATATATATAAATGTGTTACAGTTTATCAGTATATGGACATTGTTCTTAAGGGGGCTTCTTTTCCATCTTACCCTCCTAAAATAACACCGGTCTAAACCTAAATCTAGAGATTATGGTTTCTCTTTTAATTCTTCCTGTTATTCTACCGAACCCTGAATTTATTTGAATGCTATAAAACTATTTGTTCTATCTTCCTCCCATTGTTTTTGACATCTGCTCCTCATTTGTTGTTTAATTATGCTCTTATTATATTTAAACGTTATGCCTATATCTCTTTTCTTTGCAAAGTTGCAAACTTTTTTTTTCTGAGAGTGTACCCTAACTATGGATACATACTCTTTGTCATGTGCTCAGGTGACCTATAATGTGATTTTTGTCACAGTGATTATCATCTACATGTTGAGAGACTTGTACTGTTATTCCCTATGGTACTTATGTCTGTCCTCTTTTTCTTCAGATCATGATTTATTTTTAGCTTTTAAATGACTGGGTCACTAAAAGAGGCCTAAATTCACCAGGGGAATACTCTCTGGAATGTCTATCAAATATCTTATCCTATCATGTCTTTGCCTAATTGTTGGGAAAAGGTGAGGTTGCAGAACGAGGAAGAGAACATAAGATGTTTTTCAGTGTTGAAGAACTACACATTGAGTCTCATTTTATTGGTCAGGCTCATTGTCCTGCAGGATCTTACCTGGACTCTTTCCATCAGACTCTTCTTTTTATTCACCTGTTTAACCATTGCTACTATGCTGTCCATCTGGCTTGTCTTGGTTTCCTGCATAGATTTTCTCCTGTACTCTTCTGCAGAGGAGGGTCTGGAGTTTCCCAGTTTCGATGGCAAGGACAGAGTTCTTAATGTCAATGAGAGGAACTATAAGAAGGCATTAAAGAAGTACGACATGATGTGTTTGCTGTATCACGAACCCCTGCCTTCAGATAAGGAGCTCCAGCAGCAGTTTCACATGAGGGAGATGGTTCTGGAGGTAAGAAATGATTGAGAGAAAGAGGCGAGTGAGCAATTTAGTGGATTAATAAGAACAGATATATTGCTTGGTATACTTTTAGAACAGACCAATATATGTATTATGATGAACATTTATTTGGGTGGGATGAGGTCTCACGTGGTACACGCAACATGTTGAAACTGGCAGGATTTTTCTTAAATGATTAATTTAAAATGAATTTTAAGGAAATGATATCAGAGAAGACCCCTGAATACCCTTTGTGTCAATGTCAATAAGTCTCTTAAAATATCTGGTAATTTCACATTTTCTGACATGACAAAGTTAGTTCAGGTTGTAAAATATTTTTATCTTTTTAAAAAATATATTGCAAAACCTAATTTGAATGGTTAAAATGTGTACACAAATGTTTTCAAGGTGTATGAAAAATATGTATCAGTTTTTACTTGATGGTCATGTAAGGTTAATTACATTTTTTAAATAAAATTTTTATTTAAAGTGGTATGAAAGGTTTTGTATGATATAGTATGATACAAACATTACATTTATACCAACTTTGCATGCATTTAAAGTACTTTTTTTTTTTTTTTTACAAGTTTTTTTCTTTTTCTTTTTCTTTTTGTTGTTGTTTGTTTTTACATTTTGGACACTAGCTGTTTGTCATTGACCCAGTTTCCAGTTTCAGTTTTTTTTTTACCCAATTTTTTTAACCTATACGCGATCCCTGGAACATGCATAAATACCCCTCGGTTGGAAATCAACAACTTAGAAAATATGCTTGATGATACTATATCTGAGAAAGGCTCTTCAGGATAAGCAGCTGTGAAGTACTATAACCTGAATATCCAAAATTGTTTAAGATGTTTGCTCCATATAAAATGTATCATAGAGTTACAATTGACTGCACCAGGGTGTCAGACTGTACATCTGCTTTTTGTGTCTAGACAGAACCTGATGTGCAATTTAGTGTGAAGACTGACCTGATTTGGAGGCTGACAAAGGCTCCACAAACACCAGTGCTGGGTCTGCTTATGATAAAGTTGATCAAGTATAGTTTTGATTATGCAGATATCAGCCATACGTTATACAAAACTGATCCAGACTCCTTAGATATACTGTGCAAGTGTTGCTCCATACTGAATTGCTATTATAGACAACAGTATATAATTCTCACAGTATGACGACTCTCTTCCATGCATCACCAGCTTGCTGCTCAAGTTCTCGAAGACAAGGATATTGGTTTTGGATTGGTAGACTCACATAGAGATGCTAAGGTTGCCAAGAAGCTTGGTAAGAGGCTTTGTTCCAATGAGTCACTGTAATAATTAAATTACTTTTTAGATAATAAAGTTTTCTTTCTTTAGCATTTCAGTAACAAACACCAAATATGTCTTGGTATTGTTGAGGTTTGACACACAGCATCCTCACTGAATCATGTGATCTTTGTCCATTAGGTCTGGAGGAGGAAGGAAGCATCTATGTGTTTAAGGATGAAAGAGTGATTGAGTTTGATGGAGAGCTCTCTGCAGATACACTGGTTGAATTCCTGCTTGATGTGAGCAAAATTTGCTGAGCTAGATAAGTGTCGGGTCTCTGTCTGCAGCTGTTTTTGTGATTTCTTAGCAGAGCATATACGATTATACTTCTTCAATAACATCACAAATGTATAATAAGATTCCTGTTTTCGATCACTATTATTGTATTTTATAGTTACTTTTTGCAAAAATATAATTTTAAATAGTACAAAGTTTAGGATAAACAACTTTGTGCATATACTGTGGCTGTTTTTTTTTTTTTATATATATATATGTTTTACTGTTTAAACAACTTTTGAAATCATGGATCTGCTAATATAGCTCTCACTGCAAAAGTGGTAACCTGCAATTGTTACTTTATATAGGGTAAATATGTAGAAATGACTCTTTAAAGTAGTTTTGGTGGTATAAATTAATGTATTAAGTTGATTAAGCAGGGTGTCAGACTGTACATCTGCTTTTTGTGTCTAGACAGAACCTGATGTGCAATTTAGTGTGAAGACTGACCTGATTTGGAGGCTGACAAAGGCTCCACAAACACCAGTGCTGGGTCTGCTTATGATAAAGTTGATCAAGTATAGTTTTGATTATGCAGATATCAGCCATACGTTATACAAAACTGATCCAGACTCCTTAGATATACTGTGCAAGTGTTGCTCCATACTGAATTGCTATTATAGACAACAGTATATAATTCTCACAGTATGACGACTCTCTTCCATGCATCACCAGCTTGCTGCTCAAGTTCTCGAAGACAAGGATATTGGTTTTGGATTGGTAGACTCACATAGAGATGCTAAGGTTGCCAAGAAGCTTGGTAAGAGGCTTTGTTCCAATGAGTCACTGTAATAATTAAATTACTTTTTAGATAATAAAGTTTTCTTTCTTTAGCATTTCAGTAACAAACACCAAATATGTCTTGGTATTGTTGAGGTTTGACACACAGCATCCTCACTGAATCATGTGATCTTTGTCCATTAGGTCTGGAGGAGGAAGGAAGCATCTATGTGTTTAAGGATGAAAGAGTGATTGAGTTTGATGGAGAGCTCTCTGCAGATACACTGGTTGAATTCCTGCTTGATGTGAGCAAAATTTGCTGAGCTAGATAAGTGTCGGGTCTCTGTCTGCAGCTGTTTTTGTGATTTCTTAGCAGAGCATATACGATTATACTTCTTCAATAACATCACAAATGTATAATAAGATTCCTGTTTTCGATCACTATTATTGTATTTTATAGTTACTTTTTGCAAAAATATAATTTTAAATAGTACAAAGTTTAGGATAAACAACTTTGTGCATATACTGTGGCTGTTTTTTTTTTTTTATATATATATATGTTTTACTGTTTAAACAACTTTTGAAATCATGGATCTGCTAATATAGCTCTCACTGCAAAAGTGGTAACCTGCAATTGTTACTTTATATAGGGTAAATATGTAGAAATGACTCTTTAAAGTAGTTTTGGTGGTATAAATTAATGTATTAAGTTGATTAAGCAATATTAAATACATTTACATTTTTTATTTCATTGATATTATATATTTCTTATATAAATAATATTTTTGACTTAATTTTCCAGTTAATTTTCAGTGCTGTGTGTTTCACATCATTCTTCAGCTGCTGGAGGACCCAGTGGAGTTGATCAGTAACCCAATGGAACAACGTGCCTTTGAACGAATGGATGAAGACATACGCCTAATCGGCTACTTTAAGGGTGAAGACTCTGAACGTGAGTTTGCTTCCCAATAAACTCTGCTTGTAAAATTATGATTTTGCTGCTATGCTCTAAGCAGTAGTATGTTTAGGCACCATGCAAACCACGCAATTGACCTATCGGTAAGCCCCTCCCCTCGAACGCAGATGAGCCAATGGCAGTCGAGTATCAGTTGCACGGGGAGCGGAACTCGGACATCTTTAGGTTTCAGCGCCTTAGAGAAACATTGGAAGATCCGAAACTCGCATCGGTTTAATGGTGTTTATTAGGGTTGGGCGATGTCTACAGTGAAACATCGTGATGTACTCAACATCGTGATGTCTGTCAGCCATCGGCGATGGCATCGTCTATCGGCCCAACCCTAGTGTTTATGCTACAAAAATGGAAAAACGATGTGCCAAGGGTATTTTTAACACTAAATTCAGGTATCCTGAGAGGATAGACTTTTTCCCCTGGGATGAATGCAGGCTTTGGCTTCATAGAGGGCTTAAGCTCTGGCACATGGTCCGTAGCGGTCATCAGTTCTGGCTCTGGGTCTGCGGTGGGCTCTGGTTCAATTTCCAAGGAGGGCTTGATGATTTGCTGGGTGGGCTGGACTGTGGGTGAGTAAAGATCCTCCTTTCTCTCGCCGATGGCGAAGGGGATCCACATATTCCACAAACGTCCCTTGAGGAGCATTTCTGGACAGGCATGCCTTTATCCGAGTGCTGATTCCTGCCCCTGCACACGGAGTCTGTCGTCGTCATTACAAGTGAGATGAGCAAGGTCTAGGAGCTGCTAGATCCATATGTAGGGTTCCATCTTTCAGTGACGTCATGGTTGTAGAAGGGATAAAAAAAGCAGGATCTAGCTAAATGCAGCAGTCTCAATTTATTCAAACAATTTCAAGTTAGTCAGGATTCTCAAATATTAAAACACATGAACAGAACCACCAGCAAAAAGATGGAACAAAGACAAACAGGTTAAATATACACCAACACAAACCAATGAAAGCAATGAGAAACAGGTGTGGTGAATTAATCGAACAACCATTGTAACAAAAGCAAACGAAGGATACGGAACAGGGAAATAGTGAAAAACCAACTCAAAGTCCATCTTAAACTTAGACCAAAATGTGATCTACCATGATACCTACAGTAGTGAGAATCAGCGAACAGTAGAGGAAATGTAATGAAATCATCCATAAGTTGAAATTTTGAAGAAGTTCACATGATACGAGTACAGTAAGCTTTAATATCATTCAGCAGACCTGAGTTTAGGAACTTAACAAATTATATTAAATTATGTGTTATGATTATAAGTTCTCTGTTGATTATCTGTGCCTTTGGTAGTGTGTCTTTGACATGAATTATGACCACAGCTTTGTTAACCCTTTTCTTAAAAAAAATAAATAAATCTTGGAATTCTCTTGAAAAGGTTAAATGGTCCTGGAAAAAAAAAAAGTCACTTGTATCGTTCATGGTCAAATATTACTGCATTGGAAATTAATAGGGAGTGAATTTTATCTAGTGGAAAAGTTTGGTGAAAAAAAAGGAAGCAGGAATGCTTAGGTTGCTAGCTTGAAGCCAGCGGGACTGTCGGTAAGAACAGGCCCAGTCTAGTCAAATCAGGTATAGGAGATTTTATTACACATCCAAGCAGGTATTGTGTACAGATGTGAGAGTCAAGTAGTGTCTTATGAGTGCGTGTATGCGAGTGATTTCTACAAGGGAACAGAGAAATACAGAGTTTTAGTTTCCCAATAAACAATGCCAATTCAGGCACAAGGCAACTACAATGTTACATTGAATTCACAGGCAATAATGTAATCTAAACAATACATGAGACTATCTACTCGTACTATAAGTTCATCAAATGCACATTTAAAGGTGTGGTTGATTGCGATTCCAACTCTTTAAGCATGAAGACATGCTACACTGCACCCCATAAACACAATCAAGCCAAGTAAAAAAAAGCAGTCAACCACCCCTTTAAATAACTAAAGCACATGCCTAAATAAAATAAACACATTTAGGCCAAACTTAAGTCATACGAAATAAATTTTAAATATCAAACAAAGGCACTTACATGGTCAATTACGCATACGCAGGAAAAACAGAATGAAAGGAGTAAAACTCAGTCCTCTGCACAGTACAGCTGTATGCAACAAAGGGCAAGCTGTGAGCACAGGTGCAGCTAATAAAGCCTGTGAGAAAGTCCCGATTGGCTTGAGATTGGGTGGGTGGAGCTTGGGGCTAACTGGGAAATGAACAGGCTAGAGGGGTGTGGCACATTGAGGGTGTAGCTTAGGGACACAAAAACCTCCCAACATTTGGTACTGCGCCCAAACAATATCTTACTGAAAGCTATTTTTTTAAGATATCAACCTCAAATTTGGAACACTACTCATTTAGATTTATGGCTTTGATTTTCTTGCAGTTTTAGAGTGAAATATGTTTTGGAAAACATATATTTCAAACAAAATTTAAAAATAGTATTTTTGTGCATTTTTCATAATAATAAACATAAACTTCTATAGCTTTTGTCACTAAAAGTGTCTTCCAAGTGTCTTCTTTAAAAAGAGACCAGACTTGAGTCTGTGCTCCAAAGCATTCAAGATTAATGACAGTTGAAGAGGGAAATTTCATTTTCAGGTCTATGCTAAAAAAGTGGTTAACAGGTAATAAATGGATTACTATTCCATAAAAAATATTTATTACCATAAAATCCCCCCAAAATGCAAAATATTAAAATAAAAACATTATCAATCTAAACTATAGTACATTAATTTCATTGGGGGAAAAACATTTGGTCATATTTTGACCACTACGCGAAAAACACCAGAAGGTTAACTAGGTGCTATGATAACCCCACAGACTATTAAATGCTGCCTAATTGGTCAAAGAGATTAACACAGTTATAGAGCCATTCCCCAAAAAGGCACAGTCACTTTACATGACTGCTATACAGCTTTTATTAAAAAACCCATTTCAGCTGGGAAGGCTTTGCTCTGACCTCTGGTTATGTTGTGAGAGCAGAAGCTGCGTGGAACTTCAGCACTGCCACCGTTTACCATGTTATTACAGTTTTTTAGATTTGTGATTGTTTTTTTTTTCATACTTTCTTTTTATTTCTCAGATTATAAGGCCTTTCAGGTGACCGCAGAGAAGTTCCAACCATATGTGAAGTTTTTTGCCACTTTTGACAAAGGGGTGCGTACAGTACATTCCTTTACAATAACAAGAATAAAACCATGAGATGTGTTATTCTGGTATAGAAGAATGTGTATTTATAACCACAAGAGTGAGAGGATACTTATGTGTCCTCCATCTTTAAGGAAAATGATTATGTATTGTCTTCATTTGTAACTGTTTCATGCTGCAGGTGGCTAAACAACTGACTCTAAAAATGAATGAAATCGATTTCTATGAGCCCTTCATGGACGAGCCTGTCACCATTCCTGGCAAACCCAACACAGAGGAGGAGATAGTGGATTTTGTCAATCAACACAGAAGGTGATATCAGTGGCATCCTCAGAACTTTGCCATTGCCAAAGATCATCTAAAATATGAATTTTCATTCTTAAATCACAGTGTTTGATCCTCACTCAGGCCCACTCTGAGAAAGCTTCGTGCCGAGGACATGTTTGAGACTTGGGTGAGCAAGACTGGATTGTGGAAGTATCTGTAGGCCTATGTTAACTGTCAATTAAATGGCTACTGGTTCTTTGCTTGAAGTGATCTGTCTCTGCTCAATTAACAGGAGGATGACATGGACGGAATCCACATTGTTGCCTTTGCTGAGGAGGAGGATCCAGGTTTTCAATTCCTTACAACAGAGAACAACAAGCTGACAATTTCTTACTGCCATCACCAAGACTTAGTAGTCTAGTAGCACTTAATAGCATTTAACATTTTATTTGTGCTTATCTCTTTTTAATTTCATAGATGGTTATGAATTCCTGGAAATTCTAAAGGAGGTTGCAAGGGACAATACTAAAAACCCAGATCTCAGCATAGTTTGGATTGATCCTGATGAATTTCCTCTGGTGAGACAATATTCCATCCATTTCTACACAGTGTTTCTCTGCGTGAATTGAAACATTGTGACAATGTTGTAATGGTTTATTTGTCTGCAGTTAACTACATACTGGGAGAAAACCTTTAAGGTGGACCTTTTCAGACCCCAGATTGGTGTGGTGAATGTGACTGATGTAAGTAACTTTGGTTATGATGTTATTCTATTCTTTCTGTCTTCGCCTTCATCACTTTGTTAAAACACTTGGTTACACTTTATTTCGATAGTCCACTTTAGACATTCTACTAACTATAAGTAACTTTGTAACTACATGTCAACTAATTCTCATTTATTTGCATCTACTATTAACTATACGTAACTTTGTAACTACATGTCAACTACATGTCAACTAATTCTCAGAGTAGACTGTTAGGGTAGGTTTAGGGTTAGTAGAATGTTGACAAAGAAAGTGTTAGAAGATATTAAGCAGACAGTCTACTAATACTCTACTAACTGCTAGTTGACATGTAGTTGCAAATTTACTTACTGTTAATAGAATGTCTAAAGTGGACTATCGAAATAAAGTGTTACCAAACACTTTCATTTAAAAACGTCTCTTTATCCTACATTGCAATGTATGACACATCATTCCCTTTTAAGAGAAAGCTTCACATAACATATTCATGATCTACAGCATAATAAAATATTTAATCACACATTTTACAAGCCTAACGACTGCTGAAATACTATTTTACTTTAACAATCAAATAATATACAGAATAACATTGCTGCACACATTTGAAAAGCATATGCTTTGTGATTAATAAATAAATAAATTAATTCATTAATTAGTAAGTACACACTCGGCAAATAAACAAATCCGCCTGATTTTTAACGTAAGACCAGTGGCCGGCTGCATAAATTGCTTAGACTAGTCTTGTAAGTGAATCATCTATTTTTAAAGTAAGTTAAATAAAAAAAGTCTAATTTAAATTTGAAACGTAAGACTGTTTAAGACTTGGCTTACTGCTAGTTGATTAAACTAGTTCTTAAGTTACAGTCTAAACAAAGTGGCTATGTTTACACAACTGGACCCTGGTTACTGTTTGTTATTTTATATGAAAAATAGTCTGTTATGCTGCTTGATATTGAAAACTTGTATTTTTTAACATGTTAAAGTATTATGATAATCATAAACTGGTTTGTAGCACAAATAGTTTTAGTTTACAGTACTTTGTTACTCTTTAGTTATTTACCTGAATCAGAAGTCTCACACGTTCACAGAAAACAGCTTACATTCATGATGCAAAATAAGGTACAAAGCCTACATATTGTGTATTCTTATCATCTTACTTACTTAACTGTGTGTGTGTGTGTGTTGACCAGGCTGACAGTGTGTGGCTGAACATGCCTAATGATGAAGCTCTACCGTCAGCTGAGGAGCTGGAGGACTGGATTGAGGATGTTCTCTCTGGAAAGGTCAACACTGAGGATGATGATGATGACGACGACAATGATATTGATGATGATAGTAGTGATGAAGACCATTATGGTGATGATGATGATGATTAAGTGGTATATAGAAAAACTCTAACCACAGAGTTCTTTCCACAGATTGCATTAATTCTATTTGTTTTAATGACTTATGGTTTATTAATTGCAGAATTTACTTGATTTACTATAGAACTGTCTGCATTGCCAGCAAGAGACATTTAATAATGCAAAAACATATAATGACATATTACAATTTTGGTGCTGCTTATTCATCTGGAACTGTATGACTGCTACACGAAAAAGGGTGTTCTGTAGTACTAATTTTTTTGGGACACTTGAGATGTATCAACATGTTCAATAAAGAACATAAAATATTATTCTGACTTATATATAGTCTGTTTGTATTAACATTGGTATATGTAGCTATAGTTAATCATGTTTGGGGGGAAAATTTGTACATATTAGTGAGCTATATCTGATTAAACTTCCTTTTGGTGGCACCCAGCAATACCCTAATTTGTAAAAACAATATATAAAAATACAGTAAGTTTTCTGTTTGGATTAGGTTATAGTATTTATAACTAGCTGTGTATAAAAATATCAGAAGTCTATGGAACGTCCCTATTTAGATAGCTATGTAAATGTTTTTGTGGGTTTCTTATGAACGTGAGAGCAGGGTCTCATAATGATTTTAAAACCTTTCACATCTAACTTATTTAACATCATTAGCTCAGCAGAATGTATATAAAGCAGTGGAGGAACATCTTCAGATGGAGCTGAAAAGTAATTTAATTCAGCAGAAACTACACCTGTGCTAAGGAATTAAAATGAAACACACTCATCCTCAGTTACCTTCACCTTCATATGGATGCTATTTCCAACCAGATTTATGACATAATCCAGTTGCCGCCCATATGACTCATACCCATATGAACACTGGTAAAAATGATGTGTTGGATTTACTTAAAATATGTATGCACCATTTTTGCATCACACTTTTTAAGTAAACCCAACTTGGAACAATTTTACTTAAAATAAACAAGATAATCTTTGTTATATGAACTTAAATATTTGAGTTCACTCAACATTCTTTACTTAAAACATGCAACATCATCTACTAAGTAATTTCAAGTTGTGTTAACTTAACATTTAAGCTCATTTATATAAAAAAATATAATTGAGTTAAACCAACATTCTTTACTTAAAAAAAAATTAACACAATAGATCTACTAAGTAATTGCTAAATATCTACTAAGTAATTGCAAGTTGTGTTTACTTAACATTTGAATAAAAAAAATAAATTGAGCTAAACCAACTTAACATTTTAACTTATTTTAGGATCTTCAGCCTATTGGTCTGCTTACTGCACTGCTCCAGTACAGTCAATATCTTAAATAAATTAAACACGCAAATCACACAAAATAAAGCATTTCAGTTTATTTTTTGACAGGCTGCAAAGCAACGGTGAAGCCTGAAACCACACATCATGAATGTACACCAAAATGTGACAAATCGACAAATGGATGTTCACTTCCAACATGTCACTTCCTTGATTTTTCACCCTTTGCAACACTTCTTAA